GCCTGGCGGTCAGGACACGCGTGTGGCCTTCAGTCTCCCAAGGCGGTGGGGCAGCCGAAGGCCCTGCAGGGACCTGGGGACTCAGTTTGTATGGCCCATTGGAACCAAGTCCGTAGACAGCACAGGATCACTCTTGAGATAGAATGTCCGGTGGCGGGTGGCTGACGCTGGTCAGCTTTGGGTCACTGGCTCCGTGAGATGGCGTAGAGGTCCACTCGAGCTGTCTGTCGGTGCCACGCCACACGGGAGCTGCTCCAGGTCCACCGTGATGTGCCTCCCTGATCCTGCCCCACCCTGGAGGGCCGCAGGGCCCACCTACCTCCTTCTGGGGTGGTGAACTCCTTGGTTTCTGTGCGGGGGCCGTCACCTCTCCCATTGACCACAACCATCTCTAGCTTGTAGTTGCTGTAGGGGAAGAGGCGGCCCACCACGCCGCGGGGACGGTCGCCTGGGAAGCTGGTTTGCTGTCTCTTCTGAGACACCCACAGGCTCTTCAGCAAGCTGCTCTCCCTCCAGTAGTAGGCCTTCAGGACAGAGGGGGCTGGTGAGGGGCTGGCCAGGCAGGGCTGAGTTAGTGGTTAGTGGTGGTGGTAGTGTGGCGTCCTCCCATGGCTTGTTACAGGCTCCCAGTCCCATGCGATCTCTCAGTCCCACACAGGACTGGGGAAGCAGCCGCCAGACCCGGGTCTTGAAGTTAAGATCACCAACCACTGCCAACTATGAATTTGATTCAAACGAGAAGCAGTGTTCTTGGTTCCCATCATTTTCTGAGCCATGTCGCCCCTCTGGGGAACGGACAGATGGGCCCAACTCACATCTGGGCTGCTCTGCAAGGGGACTTACTTCCAAGCTGGGTACCTGGTTGCTGAGGGAGTCAATGACAGACCACAGATTGGAGCCAAGGGGCCAGGCATGGCAAGCTCGGGTCTATGCTCAGAGACCGCCTCGCCTCGAGGTGGATTAGTATGGTTTAGATCGGCAACAGCCAGGCATTGAAAAGCGGCAGGTTATGACAGAGACGTCTGACGATAGGAAAGGGTTAGCTTAATCCTTTGAGGTCAATCCTTGGGCTTCCTTTAATTATTTGAGGACCTTGAGGAAGGAGAGAGACGCCTGTCCAAGGACAGTGGCATGTCCAAGTCCGAGGGATGCTAGACTACCTGGTGGCCAGAGCTCCGCTGGGATGGGGCGGCTTGTGGAAGGTGGGAGTGTCCCAGCACACAGCCGAAAGAGTTAGCAAGGGGAGGCCTGGTTAGCGGTGAGTACGGAGCCACGGGTCACCAGGCTGGCCACAGCAGTCCAAGGTCCATGGAAAGAGGAAGTCTAGACTTATGAGGGGGACCAGGTGGAAGCTTTAGCCAGAAAAGTCTCCAGGCAAAGAGGTTAGGACAACACAGCAGGTTAACCTCCTGCTGTTGGGAATAAGCCCACGCAGGTGTACACACCATCTTACCTTGCTCCCCAACTTGCCAAATTAATTTCCCAAGCAGAGGATGACCCCTCCATTTGGCTGCCCTCCACCCCTCAGCCAACTCTCCATGGTCTCTGAAGTCCTTTGGGACCTGGGCTAATGATTATGGCCTCCCTTGCCCGGCTTCTCAATGAGAGCTCCTCACTTCCTAAGGGTGGAGAGCCTCCACGCCCCAGGATTTCTCTTCCCATCTCAGGTGGCCCTTTCAAAAAGGAAGGACCACTGAGCAGAAACCACTCCTAGGCCAAGAGGACCAGATGCCAAGGATCTAGATAACCCATGTGCCGGACAATCCAGTGTTGGCTGGGACCACAGGGAAAGCACCACAGCCCTTCAGTGGCTTTGACGGTTAGTTGGGAGGTTAGACAACCAGAACCGGGCTGGGCAAGCAGCCCTAGTGGGGTATTAGGAGAGGGGAGTGTGCAGCTCACTGGTACAGCAGCACCACTTCCTAAGATACACCTGGGTGTATACACACACACACACACACACACACACACACACACACACACACACACGTGCATTACCGTGTGCACTGCAATGTCAACCCAGCCCACCACCCTTTCCCAGGCTCTCTGCTGAGCTAAGAGAATCAGGCATTCTCTGAGCTCAGTTTTGGAGAAGCTAAGCCCAGACAGCATCTTTTGGATGTCATGCTGGATTCAATAAATAGCCCGGGCACCCCTTCAGGTATCTTATGCCTGGTTCTGCTGGGCCTGGCCTGGTTAGCAAGCTGGGTGATTGATTAGGTGGGTCGGGGCTGGCTTCCTCACTCGGTACTCTCTGAGCTGGCCCTGGACCGTGTCCGAGTAGACGCGGTTCCACTGAAGGCTGATAGCAGTGCTGTTCAGGACACGGATTTTAACGTCAGTGGGTGCAGCCCTGGGATCTGCAGGGAGGTGGGGCGGGGGTGCAGAGAGCTGGTTATGCAGGCAGGACTGGCTCTGGAAGTGAGGGTCCCCTCTGACTGGCTCTTTGCTGGCCTGTCCCACCCTGTGCACTGGGCAGGAGCTATGCCACCACCCCTGGGCTGTACTAGGGGCAGTGAGAGGGCTCAGGGCAAGAGTGGGCAGCCCTGGTGAGAGAGATTCTATGTGCTGCCCTCCTGTGCTGGTCTTTGATTTCCCCCTGCTCCAGGTCCAGGGGGGCTGCCATGTCTGAGCTCTGTCCCTTGTTCTCAGGCTCCTGGATGGTTTGGCCCTAAGCAGCAGAGTAGGAGGAGTGGGTCAGCCTGGGTATAGATGATACTCCCTCTTTGCTGGGCTGCAGCAACATTGTACTCTTCTGCCCAAGGCCACGGCCCTGGGGGTGGCCCTCTTACTGGTTACTGGTGACTCATCTGCCTCCCTCCTCTGCCCCCCTCCAAGGCTCCAGGTGGGGTCTCCTGGCTTCCTACCATGACCAGACCTCAAGGCAATGCCCCAAATCTTGGGGTTTTCCCCCTAGGCCTGTCCCTACATTACAAACAGGTTTTCCACCCACTTCCTGCCAGGGCCTGGCTCAGCTCTCCTTACTCCCCTGCCCACACATGCAGCTCAGGTGGAGGGTGTTGGAAGCTCTGAATGGAAAGGAGGTCACCCATTCCCTCCCCAGGACTTGTCCTGGCCCCCTTTCTCCCTGCCAGCTGCTCAGACGGCTGTCCCTCATGCCCTCCGGTCCATTGGAGCCTAGCTGCAGGGGAAGACGAGGGCCCTAGGATGGCCCTTGATGTCCACAGCCACACTGGCCATCAGCAACGCCCTCCGGCCTCCCGCCTGGAAATGTCTGCCGACGTGGAGGTGAGAACTGGGATGGGCAGAGGGTCTGCTGACACCTTGCACTCTCCTCCTGAGGGGCTCACTCACCTCCAGGGAATAGGGACCAGCAGGGCCCAACCCTGCCACTAAACACCATACTCTCTAGGCCGCCAGCACTGCCACTCAGACTCTACGTCTCCCCCTGGCCCCGTTAGCAAGTTGGGTGATTGATTAAGTGGGTCGGGGGCTCTCCCTCCCACCACCTCCTGGAGCTCTTCTTAGACCAGACAAGACCCGATAGGACACCGATAGGATCCAGCACCAGGAGGGGCGCCTGGGCCTGGGCCCCCAGCCTTGCTCAGCAGCCTTCAGGCAAATGGCAGCCGATGTCTGGGCAGTCTGCAGTCTGGTCGATTCACCTGGGCCGGCTTCCAGGGCACTTCTCTCAGGGACAGCTCCAAGGGCCCGGAGCTGCACCAGTGCGCCGCGGGTGGCGGGTCTGCAGCCTGAGCACGGAGCCATCCTGGCCCTCTACGGACCTCTGCTCCCCTTCTGCTTCCTCTGCGGACCCCGAGGGAAGGGGCCTTCCTGTGCGGTGTCTAATTCTGGCTGTTTGGGCAGCTAGCCCTGTGGTCTTTTATGGTGCTAACCGTGGCTGGGCAGCCAGGTGGCCTGTCTGGGGATCTGTAGGCCTGGGTTATACTTTCCAGCCCGACAAGGGCAATAACGTTCTGTCAGGGCCTCAGTTTGGACATCTCTAGGACGGGGGATAAGCGAATGGCCGTTCCAGCAGTGACAGTGGTAAGTCTAACGAGGGGTGGATGGCTAATATTCAGGTCCTGACATTGTTAGCTTTATCTGCCCTGGTCGCTGTCCGGGACATCTCTTCCCTGGGAGCTGGCTGTCCTCCCAGGGTCTCTCTGGAAGTGCCTGGCTTGTGTGTGTGGCCTTGCTCAGCCTGACTGTGAGCGTCCTGGGCGGGAGGGGGGCGGGGATGGACACTCACAGTCTTCTCCCGAGTAACCGATGACCGTGTCCGGCTCTGGGCCCTTCCCAAAGTCATTCTCAGCCTGGACTCGGATCTCGTAGGGCACGTAGACGGGAGTCTGCCCCACCACAAAGCGGGAGCCCCACACGGTGACGTTGTTCCAGGTGTCTCGGGTCTCTCTCCGCCGCCACTTGACAATGTAGCGCAGGTTGGGGCCGAAGGCGGAGGTGGCATTCATGGGCTAGGCGGGGAGACACAGACATAGGGATGGGGAGGGTCTGGGTGGGGCCTCCCAGACCACACACAGCTTGGCCTATCTTTTCTGTGCCAAGAGCTCTGCCCCAGACCCCCCAACCTGGCCTGCCCTCTTGCAGGACTGGGGCGAGCAGGCTGCCGTTCTCCTGCTGAGCCCTCCCACAAAGTCCAGAGCCCGGTGAACCCGGCAGTGGTTTTTGACCAGCAGGACTCATTCTGGTGTTGTGTGCACGTAGCCTTCCTGTGTGACAGTGATCCCGACACCGGAGTGGGCCACCTGTGTGCGTCACAGGCAGCAAACGCTCCTTTATCAACAGCATGGCAGGCCCCGGGAGAAGACAGAACATGGGCAATACAGCTTGGGCTGAAGATAGAATTCAGGTGACATGTTCGGCTTTGAACCTCCAGGCCAGCATTTCAAAGTGACCAGTCACTCCAGGGAAGAAAGACGGGGGGCTCTCTGCTGCCGTGAAGAGTCAGTCTGAGAAACCTGTCTCAGGGGCAGTTCCACCCTGTCCGACAGGGTCCCTGTGAGTCGGCATGGACTCAGTGCCAGTGACTGTGATTTGGGTTTCTTAACATCAGCATGGGAAACACTTGTGTTATCTCATCCTGCCGGAGTCCAAGCTTGACACGGACGTCCATGTACTGAACCATGCTTCTTGCTGGTCTGTTCCAAGCGGTCACAGCTGCTGGGTAGCCGGTGGGGTGATTCTTCCTCTCTCCCCCCAGGCCTGGCGCAGGAATGAGTTCCCTGGAAGCCTGCAATACAGTGGTAGGCCCCAAGCCAAGCCTTGTGAGGTCATCATGACCAGGTGTGTTGGCCTACACTCTGCCCTTTGGGCGTTACTCCGCTTTGGCCCCAGGGACCGAGACACTGAGCTTCCACGTACCTCCGCGTCTCACCACCCAGGGCAGGGTCTCAGAAACGTCTCTGCTTCAGACCTGCCCCTCTCAGGTCTGACATGGTCTGAGGAGGTGACTTAAACACCTGGTGTCCCCTAGAAGTTGTTTATGTCCTGACTCCCGGAAGGTGTGGAGATCTGATTTGGGAAGAAGATCTTTGCGGATGTTATTAATCAAGTTAACGGGAAGTCATGCTGGAGCAAAGAGTGCTCTGATCCATCGTGGCTGGTATCCACGTAACAGAGGAGGCGAGGAGGCCATGCAAGGAGACAGGCACTGGAGCGATGCTGCCACAAGCCGAGGGATGCGTGGGGCCACCAGATGCTGGAGAAGGCCAGGAAGGGTCTCCCTTTCGAGGCTCCAGGGGGGCACGGACATGCCAACACCCCGAATTTGGATGTCCCGCCTCCCGAACTGTGGAGAAAGAATTTCTGTGGGACTTATGACAAGACCCTTAGGGCCCTAATATGAGGGCAAGTAAAAAACGTATCGCTGCTGCGGTGCCAGTTCCCACACGTATGGGTTTATCTTACGCAGAATGCATTTAGACATGTCTGTGCAGTGAGTAGAGGCAGCAACACGTTCTCTCAGCAGCAAGCTCATCTTGATCTCGCCGGGGCCTCCCAGGCAGACCCAGTCAGAGCAGTGGATGCCAGGGCACCTGCTGGGCCTTCAACTCGAGGCAGAGAGGGGAGCTTGGGAGGGTACTGCTTGGGGATCCCAGAGGGATCTTCTTGGTAGATCTTGAAGGAGGCAGGAAGTTTTCAGACAGTGGGAAGCTGCCTCGGAGAGGAAGGGGGCAGAGAAGGTGGGCCAAGGTGTTCTTGCCTCTGCTGCCTGTCTCGGCAACGCACCTGCTCATGCTCTGAAGGTGTCAGGGGCTGTCCTAGGAAACTTCTGTTGGGAAGCCTTATCCCGTGCACCCCATGGCCCCCATCTTGCCCCTACTGACTTTTCTTTGTTCTCCCCAAATCAGAGAGCACGGCAGAGGAACAGCTTGAACCCCCCGAGGATGCCTAAACTGCCGTCTCGAAGAATGCAGGGCTCTTTAGAGAAGGGTTGGAAGACGGAGCCACCACACTGCCTTCCGGATTTGGCGCACAGACCCAGTGTCGAGAAACAATCGCTTCATGTCTTCATGTGCTTGCTCAATAACAGTGTCTGTGATTTTACAGCAATACTTTCTGATGCCTCTTGGTATAAACGCTGGAGGATGGAGCCATTGAGCCAGGATGCAGTTGGGATGTGATAACCCCAGCTTGGGGGAGAGACTGTGGGGCCAACTAGGTCATTCCCTCAAGGAGGACCATCCCGGGCGCTGCCCCATCCTTCACTTCCAGCAGTCTCCAGCGACGCTCCCAGAACAGGCCACAGGCAGTCTGGTGTTCAGGTCGACTGCTTCCCAAGGTCGGACTTCCAAGCAGGAAGAACGCTTGTTGGAAGGGCTGTTCTCTACGCCGGCCATGGGGATGGCCTGCAGTCGATGCTTCCCGGCCACCTCCGCTCTTTCTCCCTGGCGCTGGGCTCTGGTCCTGACCAGCTCTGCACGCTCACCTCGGAGAGCAGTGGGGTTCCCCAGCCAGTCAGGTGGCCTGAGTGCAGTGTGGGTTGAGGCTTCGGAGGGGTACGTGGAACGACCTCTATGTGCAACACTGCCGGGTGAGCGGGAGCCAGGGGGGTGGGCCGGGAGCGACTCTTACCGTCCATGTGATCTCCATGTTGTTCTTCCTGGTCCCCTCTCCCTTCACGTCCATGGGGTTGGACTCAGGGGCTAGAACCCAATAATATAGAAACAGCAGGTCAAGTCCAAGTTGTGCCTTTCCAGGGCACGGTCAGCAGCCTATCTTCTCTCCCTCGACTGGTCCCTGCCTCTGCCTCTCTATACTCGCTCTACCCCATGGGTCAGGGGTCTGGGGGCACATGGCTAAGGTGGAACTCACTCAGTAGCTCCTCGGGAGAGTGACCTGGTCATTTGCTCCCACTCAGGTTATAGCTCAGAGAGCCCCCATGGGGTGAGGTGGGGTGGCGTCATGTGGAGTTGCTGTTAGCACTGACTTGAGGGCACCCAAAGGTAACCCCACACAGGAACTAAACTGACTCTTGCACTCCTGGGCCTGGTGGGCTTTCCTCTCTAAGATTGAACCTCTAGTGCAGGATGCACTTCTTTGGAATTTCAATCCCTTCCTAGGAGCCCTAGTGGTGTAGTGGTTACATAATGCACTGCCAACCACGAGGTTAGCCGATCGAAACCAGCAGCCGCTCCTTGGGTGAAAGACAGGGATTTCTCCTCCCAGGATGAGTTCAGGGCTCAGAAACCCACAGGGGCAGATCTACCCTGTCCTGTGAGGCCGCTATGAGCCAGAGTCGACCTGATGGCAGGGCGCACTCCCTCCCAGGCTTTCTTTCACACGCGAGTGCTCACGGTGCCAGTCACATTACCCGGGAAAGGGGCCCAATGCCGTCGATGCTGTCCCTCCGCCCGGGGAGCTCTCCCACTCTCTAGGAGCTGGCCTGAACCCGAAATCCAAACACTGTCCACACATGTTACAAAGAGGGAGCTGATCTCACAACTTCAAAAAGCGGAAGTTGGAAAAACCTACGATCCTTTAATCCCATTTCCCACCAACTATCTGAGGCGCCCGGGCTGGGCCTGTGACAGGTCGTTACTGCAGCCCTCCCTTTAAAGCAGGCCAAAAGAGCGAGTCGTCCCACGAACAGGAGTGACAGAGGCGGTGAAACTTGATGGGGTCCTGACTGCGCACCAGGTGTGCCGGCAATGAC